TGTGTAGCATAAGCATGTTTCTACTACATACACTGATGTTATTACCATTTCTGCCTATGCTAGAAAGTGAGAATTCTTTAGAAAGATGTCCACACTGTGTACATACTACCTGGGTAAGGAATACCGTAGTCAAAACTCTACTGTACCGTACTTACTATAAATGTACAGGAACCAAGTTAAAAACCTACCCATACAACCAGAAACAGTCTGCAATAGTTTAACACAAGACAGGTTTAGCAGGGGCAGCCCTAAACATCTGTACAGAGAACCACAAATCGGATGCCCAGACTGTAACATTCAGTGGTCAACACTAACACAGCTCCAATATTTATATTCAGGAAGGACTGCTCTGCAAAGTAGTATGTCAACCAAACCAAACTGTAAGACAAGACCATGCAATCCTTTAAATTTTACTATCTTAAAGCCAGAGCTACCTTTTTGGTATACAGGACAGACATCACTACTACGAGTTGATAGACAAGGAGCAGGCCTTGGAGTTGCACTACTAATTGTCAAAAAGACTAGAAGGAATCAAATGTGTCCAACCCCGCAATTCCGAGCCCATAAGTCATTCTACAAGCATTTTGATCAGTCAGCGCCTGAGCTTTCCCATCAACCAAAAACTTATTTGCTCAACTAGCTGAAAACCTAGCTGGCAGCTTAGAAATTTCCTCATGCTATGTATGTGGAAGACCTAATATAGGGGACCACTGACCATGGGAGGCTAAGAAATTAATGCCACAAGATAACTTCACTTCGCCTAACCCTGCCAGTAAACCAACAGCCTTAGCCAGTGTTTGGTTGTTAAAAATCTCCATAATTGGAAAATACTGTATTGCGCGTTGGGGAAAGGCTTTCACAGAGGCAGCAGGACAAACAACCCGCCTAGGGCAACAGTATTATGATGAGACTAAAATAAAACTCTATGGAGAAACACCCAGAAGACTCCTACTTAGCAGATCCAAACCTTTTCTCTCGATTCTCTACTCTAAGCCACTCTTGGTATCAGCTAGAGGCTCCAAATGCTTGGAAAGTGCCCTCTGGCCTATACTGAATCTGTGGAGCATGGGCACATCGGCAACTGCCGGCTAAATGGACAAGGGCATGTGTGTTAGAAATAATCAAGTCATCCCTCTTTTGAATTCCTCTGAAGCAAAGGGAACTCTTAGGATATCCAGTTTATAAAAAAAATAAAAGAAGCATAATCACAGCTAGAATGCGCAAGTTGGCCCATGTTCCAGTTCAGACTTGGGCCGGATGGTCTCTGGATTCCTTGTTTAGAAGATGGTTCTCAACCTTTGGAGGATTCAAAACCCTCATTGGTAGGTTTATTTTTGACATCTGCCTCAGCCTTCCTTGCTTTTTACCCCTGTTTATTAGGAGTATTCACTTAACTATAGATGCAGTAGTAACGCGGCACACTACCACAAATTTCATGGCATTAACCAAATATTAGCCGCTACCAGGAAAAGCAGCAGTTCAGCTCCATGAAGAGGTGGCAAATAGTAGTGCTTTCTATTAACACCTTTGTTATAAAAAACACCAAAGGGGGGAAATGGAACAGGAATTAAAAGAAATTAAAAACTGTGTAAGCAAAAACTCAGTTGTGTGTAAGAAAACCCAATTCCCCCTGAGGAAGAGAAAGGGCTGGAGTCCTTTAAAATTAACTGCCTGTTTTTCTTTCTGAGGCTAGTGAGTCTTATCTCTCCCTTTCCCAGGCGTTGTGAAGACTCTGTTTCTCTAGCTGTGTAGCTGCAAGGTCACTCAACAGATAATCTCAAGTCGCAAAACATGTTGTTCTTTGAGAAATAAAAAATAATGTAATGCAGGTCTCAACTGAATAGCTTTGTTTCTCGCTTCTGTAATATGCTTTCACCTGCACAAATCTCCCCCCGCCCCACGAAAGGTTGCTTGACCCTTTGTTCAGGGCTCAGTCCTTTGGATGTTAATCTGACTGGGTTAGTGCACCTAAATAATTAATTCCTCCTCAACCCCTCGGTCTCTCTGATTCCTTAATTATCCCACAGCAGCATGAACATGGCTCACTGTAGCCTCGACCTCCTGGGGTCAAGCAATCCTCCTACTTCAGCTCCCTAAGTAGCTGGGACTAAGGGTGTATGCCACCAAGCCCAGTTAATTTTTGTATTTTTTGTAGAGATGGGGTTTCACCATGTCACCTCGGCAGATCTTGAACTCCTGAGCTCAAGCGATCCACCCACCTGGGCCTCCCAAAGTGCTGGAATTACAGGTGTGAGCCACCGCACCCCGTTAACGTTATGGAGCTCTGTCAGGTCTGAGCCCTGTAACATTAGCTGTATGACTCTGGCAAATTAATCGTCCTGCGTCTGTCTTCTCATCTGTAAAAGAAGAATAACATTAAAATAGTTTATTTTAACTATTTTTTAAAATTAGAATATTGAGAAGAAGGAAAAAAATACATATATTCCTACTACTATAAAGGAATCTTTGCCATCATTTTGCTCTTGGTTGGCATCTCCCCCTCCCCCATTTTTAAAAATGAAAATTGACTCTATTTCTTTCCTTCTTTCTTTTTCTTTTTTTAAAGATGATGTCTTGCTATGTTGCCCATGCTGGACTCATACTCCAGAGCCCAAGCGATCCTCCCTCTTCAGCCTCCTAGATAGCTGGGACTACAGGGATGTGCCGCCATACCTGGCTTAAACCAGTTTCTTTTTTAATTCATAATTTTAAATCAAAACAATTTACTCAACTCTTTATTTTGAAAAGTTTTAAACCTCAAAAAAGTTGAAAGACTAGTACAATGAACACTCACGTACCCTTACTCTAGCACCAAGAATTCACCAATTATTAACATTTTGACTGTGTCCCTCTCTCCCATAATATACTTTTCTTTTTTTCTGAAATCAGCTGATTGATTAGGGTGGTGGTTGCTGAAAGGGGAGGTGCTGTGGCAATTTCTTAAAATAACGTAACAATGAAGTCTGCTGCATGGATTGATGCTTCCTTTCATGAAAGATTTCTCAGCAGCATGTGATGCTGTTTGATAGCATTTTATCCACAGTAGAATGTACCAAATTGTAGTCAATCTCTCAAACTCTGCCACTGCTTTATCAACTAAGTTTATGAAATAGTCTAAATCCTTCATTATCATTTCAACAGTGTTCCCAACATCTTCACCAGGAATAGATTCTATCTCAAGAAACCACTTTCTTTGGTCATACATTAGAAGGAACTGCTCATCATTCAAGTTTCTCATGAGATTGCCACAATTCAGTCATATCTTCAGGCTCCACTTGTAATTTTAGTTTTCTTGCTATTTCCAACCACATCTGCAGTTACCTCCTTCACTGAAGTCTTGAACCTCTCAAAGTCATCAATGAGAACTGGAATCAACTTCTTCCAAACTCCTGTTAATTTTGATATTTTGACCTCGTCCCATGAATCACAAATGTTCTTAATGATATCTAGAATAGTTAATCCTTTCCAGAAGGTTTTCAATTTACTTTGCCCAGATCCATCAGAGGAATAACTATCTATGGCAGCCATAGCCTTACAAAATGTATCTTAAATAATAAAACTTGAAAGGCAAAATTACTTCTTGATCCATGGGCTGAAGAATGGATCTTGGTTCGCAGACATGAAAATAACATTCATCTCCATATACATCTCCATTAGAGCTCTTGGGTGACTATGCACATTTTCAATGAGCAATAATACTTTGAGAGAAATGTTTTTTCTGAGCAGTAGTCCTCAACAGTAGGCTTAAAATATTCAGTAAACCATGCTATGAACAGATGTGCTGTCATCCAGACTTTGTTGTTCCACTTATAGAGCACAGACAGATTATACTTAGTGTAATTCTTAAGAGACCTAAGATTTTTAGAATGGTAAACAAGCACTAGCTTCAATTTAAAGTCACTAGCTGCATTAGCCTCTAACAAAAGAGTGAGCTTGGCCTTTGAAGCCAAACATTGACCTCTCTAGCTATGAAAGTCCTTGATGGCATCTTCTTCCAATAGAAGGCTGTTCTATCTACACTGAATACCTGTTGTTCAGTGGCTGCCTTCATCAGTGATCTTACCTAGGTCTTGGGGATAACTTGCTGCAGCTTCTTCATCAGCACTTGCTGCCTCATCTTACACTTTTATGTTTCTGGAGATGGCGTCTTTCCTTAAACCTCATGAAATAATCTCTTCTAGCTTCAAAATTCTATCGCTTCCTCACCTCTCTCAGGCATCACAGAACAGAAGAGAATCAGGGCCTTGCTTTGGATTCTGTTTTGGTTTTAGGGGATGTTGTAGCCGGTTTTATTTTCTATCCAAATCACTAAAATTTTCTCCAAATCGGCAATAAACAATTTCACTTTCTTATCATTCATGTGTTCGTTAGAGTAAAATGTTTAATTTCCTTCAGTAACTTTTCCTTTGCATTCACAAACTGGCTTTTTTGGTGCAAACTTTCAGCCTATCTTGCCTTTTGACGTGCCTTCCTCACTAAGCTTAACCATTTCTAGCCTTTGAGTTAAAGTGAGAGATGTGTGACTCTTTCTTTCACCTGAACAGTTAGAGGCCCATTGTAGGGTTATTAATTGACCTAATTTCAATACTGTTGTGTCTCAGGGAATAGAGTCCCAAGGAAAGGGAGAGAGAAGGGAGAACGGCCTGTCAGTGGATTAGTCTGAATACACACATTTATCAATTAAGTTTGTCGTCTTATATGGGCACAGTTCATGGCGGCCCCAAACAATTACAATACAAGGAACACTCATCACAGGTCACCCTTGTAGCAGAATACATCTCCCTATGATGGACGCATACGTCCTCTTAACTCTCGGGAACGCCCCACTCCGTCTACGAAGTAGCCGCACTTTCACCACTTTACTTAATAAACTTGCTTTTGCTTTGCTATGCGGACTCGCCCTGAATTCTTTCTTGCGCAAGATCCAAGAACCCCCTGTTGGGGTCTGGATCGGGATCCCTTTCTGGTAACAAAACTACACCAAAAATAAAAGAAAACACGTTACTGTGCGGTACCTGACAAAGTCTCTAGTCGGAGGGAGCACACAGAACTTCACCTTCTGTGGCCTTTCCCTAAGCGGGGAGGAGCAAAGATGGAAGAGGAGAGGCCAGTGTCCTAAGCCCGCTCTCCCATCGGCACAGCTTTGGTCCGCGAGGCAGCCAATCAGGTAGCTGAGTTTGCCATAGGGGCGGGACTTCCTCCGCAGGGCGCACGAGTACGTGTGTGGAGGTCCCGCCCCGGAACTGCGGTTGCTTCTGCAGCTGAGGTACAGCGGCGGTTTCTGAGGCTCCTGACCGGCGACCGACGGAGCTGCCGTGGCGTCTCCACACGGTGAGTACCAAAACGAGCGGAGCTGGAGACGACTCTAGAGAGGGGCTGAGGCCAGGAACCCGGGTTCCTGTCGCGGGTCTCTCTGCGCCGTTGGGTTCCCGGGTCCAGAGAGGGCGGCCGCCGGCCCAAGCCGTCCAACCGAGCTGCGCGCCATGGTCCCCGCGCCTTGGACTCCTTGTCTGGGCATCAGGGCCTGACGGCCTCGGCTTCTCGGTTTCGTGCGTGCGTTCGTGCCTGAGACAAAGCGAGAGCGCCGCGCGAGACCGGCGTCACGAGGAAACAGAGGCCTTTCTACTCTGCCTGACGCGCCCCGTGTCCTCGCCCGTTTCGCGTGGCACCCCCCGCCCTCTCCTCGTTGAACCCCGCGTGTTTTTTTGCCGTGGCGCAGCGGGTCCGGCGGGCACCGTGTGCGAACGTGCTCTCCTCGCCGGGCGCCATGCTCAGCGGTTTTTGACGTGCGTCACTTTTTCGTAGTGGCGTATAACGATTCTGTGGGACAAATGTCCTCGTTATTCCCGTTGTGCAGACGGGGAAATAGAGACTCAGAGATGGATACGTCCACCGCAGAGCCACAGCTGACGAGTGGTGGATCCGGATTTGAACCAAGATTTACCTTGGTCTTTTTCACGGAACCTGTTGTCTTCCTTGGGCTTTCTGAAAAGGAAAAACCTGGATCGAGTTCCACCCAAACGAGTTGGGCCTAAATGGCCATTAGGTCACTTAAAATATGATGAAAAAGCTGGATGGGTTTTAAGACGCTTGGCAAAGGAAGGGATGGTGGAGCAGGCATTTGCTCTCTCAGGCAAGGCTTGAGAAGGAAGCAAGCGCAATACGCTTTTAATAAAGCTCACCCCTCCTGCCCCCACAAGAAAAACCCCTCAGATTCTTACTCTGCCTTCAGAATGGCTTATGTGTGGCAGGCTTCATCCTCCGTGCTTTACATAATTTCCTTTATTTACACAAAATATACAACTTAGATATTGTTAGGTACTCTCCTCCCTTTTTATAGATGAGAGCACTGAAGTTCAGAGAGGAGTGGGTGGCACTATCCAAGGTCACACACGCAGTAAGTGTTGAATTTGGAATTCAAACCAGGTCTAGCTCATACGTCTTTGTTCCATCACATGTGTACCCTGTGTTTCGGGCAAAGCTGTCTGTTGTGTGGTATTTCCTTCTTTGTTCTTCTCTAGGTGGGAGCAACTGTGTGATAGCCGTCTTTGTATCCTCAGTTCTTTGTAGGGCCTAGTTGCTTAGAGAATATTTGTTGCATCAGAACCCTCTGCTTCTCAGACACCAACCTAATAGAACATGTTATCTCCTTTTCAGCAACCATGAAGTTGAAGGACACAAAATCAAGGCCAAAGGCATCAAACTATGGCAAATTTCAGACAAAGGGAATCAAAGTTGTGGGAAAATGGAAGGAAGTGAAGATTGACCCAAATATGTTTGCAGATGGACAGATGGATGATTTGGTATGCTTTGAGGAATTGACAGATTACCAGTTGGTCTCTCCTGCCAAGAATCCCTCCAGTCTCTTCTCAAAGGAGGCACCCAAGAGAAAGGCACAAACTGTTTCAGAAGAAGAAGAGGAGGGAGAGTCTAGCTCACCAAAGAAAAAGATCAAGTTGAAGAAAAGTAAAAATGTAGCAACTGAAGGAACTACTACCCAGAAAGAGGTTGAAGTCAAAGATTCTCAGCTGGAGGCCCAGGGAGATGGCATGGTTTGTGATGATCCGGAGGCTGCAGAGAAGACATCGGAAAACCTGGTCCAAACTGCTCCAAAAAAGAAGAAAAATAAAGGGAAAAAAGGTTTGGAGCCTTCTCAGAGCACTGCTGTTAAGGTGCCCAAAAAAGTGAAGACATGGATTCCTGAAGTTCATGATCAGAAGGCAGATGTGTCAGCTTGGAAGGACCTGTTTGTTCCCAGGCCGGTTCTCCGAGCACTCAGCTTTCTAGGCTTCTCTGCACCCACACCGATCCAAGCCCTGACCTTGGCACCTGCCATCCGTGACAGACTGGACATCCTTGGGGCTGCTGAGACAGGTAAGGGCAACTCCGGCCAAGGCAGGATTGCTTCTGGATTGAGCCCATAGCTACTAATAAGCCAGATAATTGGGAGAGAGAAGAATGTTGAGAACATAACCACAAAAGCAACGCTGAATAAAGGTGTTTAGAAGTCAGCCCCCTCTGGTTTGAAATACGCTCTTCCTGAATGGTACCCTAGCCATCACTTTTATCTCTGTCAGCTCTATAGACCCCATTATCAACCAAATGGAGATAACAGTTTCTACCTCTTGCATTGCTGTGAGGGTTAAATGCTACAGTAAGCTAAAGCTTACACTGTACATTGGAAGTGGTCTGCAAATGGTAGTTTCTCCTGTTCTTGAGCCTTTTCTGAATGACTCATAGGGGTAAGGTAAGGCTAAGATCAGCCTTCTGGAGAGGTAGATCTTCATGAGTATAAGGAAGAACTGTCTAATTCTCAGGAGTTGTGCAAAGGTGAAAAGGGTTGCTGCTTTGGGAGTTGGTGAATTTCTTGTCATTGGAAGGATTTGAGTGTGGTGGATAGTCATTGGGTGGATTTTATAAACAGATTCAGCTATGACGTGACTGTTAGGACTAGGCTGTGTGAGGTTCCTGCAAGACTTTTGGAAGCAACGACAGGTTGGCTTTGCTGGATAACTAGACTACTGACTTGGGGGAGGAACTAGTACTGCCTGGAACTATTGGTCTGTTTAGACCAGCAGTGTCCGTTAGAAATACATATAGTCATCTCTTGATATCCATGGAGGATTGGTTCCAGGACCTCCCTTGGATACCAAAATCCAGGGATGCTCAAGTCTGATATAAAATGGTGTAGTGCTTGCATATAAGCTATGCACATCCTCCTGTATATTTTAAATCATCTCTAAATTACTTACAATACCTCATACAATGTAGGTCTTATGTAAATTGTTACACCGTATTGTTTAGGGAATAATGACAAGAAAAGTCTGTACGGTGTTTAGTACAGATACAGTTTTTTTTTTTACCCCCTGAATATTGTCGATCCCCAAGATGCGGAACCCACGGTTACAGAACGGTGATTGTATAATGTAAAACACATGTGTAATTGAAAATTTACTAGGAGCCACATTTTTTAAAAGTTAAAAAAAACTAGTGAGATATTTTACATTTTCTTACTAAATTTTTAAGTAATAAATTACTCAAATTTTTAAACAATTTTAAAATTTTAATTAATTTTTAGTAATAAATTACTAAACTTGCAGCACATGTCAGGTTAGAGTAACTACATTTTAAGTGTTCAATAGACACGTTGTGCTTTGGGTTTCTGAAACAGTGGTCAGGAAACTCTTGATGAGGTTCTGTGACAGTCATATAGGTGGAAGAGTGAGGAACCCACAGGAAAGGGGAATGGAGATTATAACTTAGAACATTTACTGAGCATTTAAGATGTGTCATGCACTGTGTTAAGTGCTTTATGTTGATGAGGTCGGTTGTCACAACCACCCTGAGGTAAGTACCATTATTCCCATGTTACAGATGAGAAAACTCAACCTCACAGAGCATAGACAGCTTCCCTAAAATTACACGACTGAAATGGTAGTGTCTGGATTCCAGGCTATTTCTGTGTGTTGTTAAGCATTCTGCTACACTGCTTTGATATGTGCAGCAGAGTCCTGGAAATAAGTCCCTGGAAGGCAGAAACAAGGTTTATGTGAGCCATTGTGGCCAGAGATTGACATTTGAATTTATACCACAGTTCCTGTCAGGTTGTGAATCTACAAGTCCAGAATTCAAAACGACTTGGGTAAGTCATCCATTTGGGGCTGTGAACAGACCATTGCCCATGCAATAACGAATAGAACCTTAAACAATGTGGGGATTAGGGGCACCGGTCCCCCATGCAGTCAAAAATCCATGTATAATTTTGAACTCCCCCCAAACTTAAAATAGCCTATTTTTGGCTGGATGCCTTACAGATAACATAAGCAGTCTATTAGCATATATTTTGTATTATATACTTTATTTTTACAGTAACATAAAGTAGAGGAAAACTGTTACTAAAATCGTAAGGAACAGAAAATGTATTTGCTATTCATTAAATGGAAGTGGATCATCATAAATGTGTTCATCTTCATCTTTACTGTGAGCAGGCCGAGTAGAAAGAGGAGGGGTTGGTCTTGCTGTCTCAGGGGTGGCTGAGGTGGAAGAAATATGTGGTATAAGTGGACCCCCACATTCAAATTTGTGTTCAAGGGTCAACTGTATATCCATTACCCCCAAAAAGATGCCCTGGTTTTTTTTGTAATCCCTCCCTCCCTCAGTTCTTGTTCCTCCTCAGGCAACCACTGATAGGCCTTCTTAGGCGTTCTGTCACTATAAATTAATTTGCATTTTTTTCTTTCTCTCACACACACACACACACACTCTCACTCACTCTCTCTCACTCTTCTCTCTCCCCCCCCCCTTTTTTTTTTTTGGAGACGGAGTCTCACTCTGTCACCCAGGCTGGAGTACAGTGGTGCAATCTCGGCTCAGTGCAACCTCCGCCTCCCGAGTAGCTGTGCCTGCCACCATGCCCGGCTAATTTTTTTTCATAGTTTTTGTAGAGATGAGGTTTCACCATGTTGGCCAGGCTGGTGGTGAACTCCTGACCTTGTGATCCACCCACCTCAGCCTCCTAAAGTGCTGAGATTACAGGTGTGAGCCGCCACACCGGGCCCTATACTCGGTCTTTAATTTTATTTTAGACTTTTGAAATTTTAGTA